AAAATATAATTAGAATAATTATCGAGTTCCAACAAAATAAATAATTATTATCTTTATAAAAAAAATTATATTATTAAACCAAATATAAATTACTTCGTTATTGTATATAAATTAAATAATAAAAAATTGAATTAAAAAATTACACAAAAAAATGAGGAATTTCAAATAGTTAATTTGATACTAATATCGATTTATTTTTATCAAATTTTTATGATATCTTCAAACATATATTTTATTCAAAAATAAAAACATCATCGCTTTCTCAAAATCACATAAAACCATATTATAACATCAACTGAGATAAAGAATAAAATATTAAAATCACGATGTATCTCGCTACATTGCGCGAGTACGCTTCTAATAATATAATATAGATAACAAATATAAATATTTGAAATATTAAACAGGGCCCTATTAAATATCATCATACAGTAAAATGTAATGGAATTACATATCAATCAATCATTACATTCAAAATGAATAGAAAAATTCAAGAACCATAAAAAATTACACTCATTTAACAATAGCTTCTTCACTTTAAAGTTATAATATTAATTATATTTGATAAAATGTTATTTTTCCTAGATATATTTAATTTTAAAGTTTTTTATTCGTAAAAAGTATATCAAAAAAACATTGACTACGAGAGACATAAACGGTTAGTTAATATAATAGTATATACTTAAATTGAAAAAGTTATCACAATAAAATTGGTTTTCTAGCACGTCTACATTGTTTAAGCATATCAATGTTAGAATATATTATAGAACCTAGGTTTATAGAACCAAACTATAAAACGTCTTATCTAAAAGCATTACAATATGATTATACGATACTTTTAGACGTTTTAACAAGTTTTTTAGGACGCTTTTAAAATAAAATGTTATTTTAGCTATTTTATAAAGTATCTTATAAACATCTTTTATAAGAGAATTGTGTTTGTAGGTCAATTTTTCATATGGTGTCATATAAAATAGTTAATATGACTCCTTATTTTAAAAGCGTTTAAATTTTTTATTAAAACGCCTATTATTGTAACACTTTTAGATGAAACGTTTTTTTTTTGTTTTGTCCTATAAACTTAAGTCCTGTAAAGCATTTTTTAGAAAGTTTCTATATTCTAGATGTCTTGTAAAATCAATTTTATTGGTAGTAGAAAGTAAAATTGGTACCAAGGAGGCTAGGGGACAATGGGCTATGGGTTGTTTCTATATAAAGACCAAAGTTTTCGATGTATTTGCATATTTAAATTAGCACTCACAAACAAAGATATCTATATGGCTCTAATCGGAAAGTTGATCATGTACGTAGACATCACTTCACATGGAGACATATTTCATGAGATGTTTAGACACAGACCACACGACCTCGCTTTGATATCCCCAGATATCCTTCATGGTTGTGAGTTTGATGGTCAAGCAGGAGCTGTTGGGTCCTCCATCTTCTTCGAGTATACCCGAGGTACGTACGTACCCCTCATCTGCTGTCCAACCGTAGTTTCTTCTATTCTCCATAAGTACTGTAGGGTTCAGATTATCTCAAATAAATTAAACTATTAACGGACAAGAATTATTTCTTTTGCATGGAATGAAGATGGAAAAAAGCTAACCGCAAAGGCGATGCTTGAAGAAGTTGATGAGAAAAACCACAAGGTAGTGTACAAAGTAACTGAAGGAGATCTTGTGGAGGAGTTATACAAGTCCTTCAAAATCATATTTCATGTTGAACCAAAGGGTGATGGGCAATTGGCTATTTGGACACTTGAGTTTGAGAAAATGAATACAAACATGCCTTATCCAACTTCTTTCATGGACTATGTATTGAAAATTACCAGGGACTTGGATGCCCATAACACTAGTCAATAGAGGTATAGCAAGTTCTTAATAAAAAATGGATCAAGAGGAAGTTCATTGTATGCATTTAGTCGATTAAATAAGATAAACGAATAAAGCAAAGTGAAAAATAAACCTGATGGTAGCTATATATGGCTACATGGCCACATGGGAACATGTATGTTTGCTTTCTCCCAGGAATCTGTAGACATGAATGTTTTGATTATCATGGGTTAGTACCGTTGTCTAATTTTGTTCGTATTTTGATTCTGAAGTCTTGTAAGTGGCAAGTGAGATTGTAATATGATTGTATGAAGATTGTTGTGATTACATGGACGGATCTGATGTAGAGTATACAGTTGCTCGTGCCACCATATATAATAAAACTACAATGAGAACACAAGTTTCTCTTGGTAAAGTTGATTTGCAAGATTTTTTTTACATCCCGGACCCGAGTTTGAGTTCTGTTAATGTCATTTTTTTAGTTTTAACTTTTAATTTCAAATTTATTATGTTTTAAAAAAAAATTACATTAAAAGACTTGAACACATGACCTCACATATGAAAAGTAATGAGTGTCAAATGATGTCACTATTTGAAAAAAATCATATATCCATCATGATTGTGAATGTTTAAACACCCATGAGCCTTGTTAATGATCCAGCGTATTTTCAATATGGTGACCATCACTTATTTTGCTTCTTTGTTCATGGTCGGCATTTTAAGTGAGATTATAATATGATTGTATGAAAGCTTGTAAATCTTTAAACACCCACGAGCCTTGTTTACAATTAATTTTGTCTTTCAATACTGGCTAGCAAATATGATGACATGGTCCGTATACTTCGTTTCTATTTTCGTGATCTGCATTTCAAATTATCTTGTTATTTTGTGCCTCCAAAATCCATTCGGTGTTACTTAGACGTTCCTCTTGTCCCTTTTATGTTTGTTCACCAAATAGAATAAGCTTTTGAACATATGTTACTGTGAAATATGTAGAATCCTAATAAATTACTGTTTAAAAGTGCCATTGATCATATAATGGATGATTTAATATATATTAAGAAGAAATTATCCAAACCGATGTAGTACTTCAACTTTTATTATCCCTCTTGTCTCCCTCATTATCTCTATTATCTCCAAATACAAACACCATATGTGTGACTTTTCTCCCACATTATTGTCATCTTTATTTTCTATTAGTGAATTTTTCTCGTCACCATCACTCGTGGTTTTCTCTTGATTTCGGTTTCACGCATATATTGGCTTGTCTTGTAACTTTATATATCTCTTTATATTGCTTTAGATGGTTATTTACTTCGTGAATATATATAATATTCGATTTCACCCAAATGTAAATAATTTACATGTATTCTATTGTAAAAATGATTTTTGAAAGTCTAAGAGAACATATTGAACGCCGAGTTGGACAAAGCTTGTTATTCGTGTTTTTTTTACTTGAGAGGTTTTGTTATACCTGTAATATATACACGGATTTTTATGTTTACTGATGATGGAATATATAATTGATCCTCGATCACCACTAATTGTTCGAGAAGCTATATTTAAGAGCAAGGTTATATCAATTTTCACTAAATTTTACCATATTGACAACCATAGGCTAGATCATTTTTGAGTTTTTGCAAAAAAATCGTTTGGATGGTAAAAAAATATCTTATAAATTAGCCTTTTGAAACATTATTTAGAGTAGTGTTTAAATAAATTCAAAGAGTTCTTTTCACCTTTTTCAATTATGCCTCTAATATTTATCTAATATTGATTAAATAAAGTTTTTATTTAATAAATAAATTTATAAATATTAATATCAAATATTAATCATAAAGACAAATTGTATGAAATAACAATTTATTTTCGTAAAAAAATTATCACGATACCGTATAGTATTTTTATTATTTTATTACAACAATATACTTTCAAATTAAATTTTTTTTTGAAACATTATACTTTTAAATTTTCTACTAATAATTATAGCATTAGATAGTTTGTTACCTTTTAAAATGTGGTGATATTGATGGGTGTGGTTAATGGTATTAATGGTGTAATATTAATGAATCGAAGGAGATGAAGTCAAATAAACTTTTGATGCATTTTAACAACAAATATCTAAATATGAGGATGGAAAATGCATAAATAAATTGTTAAAAGTAGTCTTTAAATGTGGGTATAATTATGCCACGTAGGAAGAAAAGAAAATGTGTAATTACTTTATTAATCTAATTCTTGTTACATAATTGTTGTCTCATGCCATTATTTCAAAACAATCAACTTTTTTGTCATGTATTTGATTATGTTTCTATATAAAGATGAACATTTTATGTATTTGCACATTGGAATTAGATCTATCAAACAAAAAGATTAGTAAAGTTGTTCCACATTGAAAGAAATATGATAAAGAAAGAGTGAAAAAAATATAATAAAAAGATAGATGATGAAGGAAGGGTGAATGGATGTTACAAAAAGACATGGAGTTGAATGGAGTTTCCAACTTTATCTTTTTAATGAAGAAGTTTGAACCGGTTCCCTTTAGTTATATAAAAATTAAGAGAACATATTTAAGTCTTAAAATTTATAAGAGAAGACCTAAAATTTCATAAATTTTAATGGGTGAACCTGGTTCGAACTTGATTCGAGTCCAAGTTCTAGCTTGATTCGAGTTGTAGTTCGAGCTTCAAACGAGTTTAAGTTTAAAAATTGCATTTGAATTCGCGTCGAGTTTAGTTTTTAACTACTCGCAAGCTTTCAAGTCGAGTTCGAGCTTGAGAAATGACTATCAAGTTTGATTCGAGTCCGAGTTCAAGCTTTATTTTTATTTTTTTAATAATTTAGGGTTTTAATCATTCAAAATGTGGAAGTTCAATTTTCTATTCAAAAAAATAGTTTAGAAGTTAAACATTTAAAATAAAAAAGTTTAAAAGTTTTTTCATAAAAAATAGTTTAAGGACTAAACTATTCAAAATAAAAAAGTTTCTTTGGGCTTTTTTGAACTTTTTCTTTATAGATTTTTAATGATAGCTTATTAACTTTATAATAATCGATCTACATTTTTTATATAATAATTTATACATTATATTATTAAACACTTTGAATATATGAATTAAATTTATTAGAACTCAAACATAAATATAAATACAATTTACGATGTAATATAGGTAAAAAAATGTTAAATACTTAAATTTGAAATGTCATTATACAATACACTAAAGTAATAATACATAAATTTTAAAACTAAAGAACCATTTGTAATTTTGAAAGTTTAACCAAAAAATTGTGTTATACTCTCTCCAACTTAAAATAAGGGCTAGCTCATTTAGTCATTTACTAAAGGCGTCCAGATAAGCACTTATCGATGATGTATAACAACATCCTCACTTACTTTATTATCAACATTTTTGTTCATCAAAATGGATTGATGGTAAACGTCTTCAACTCGGTAAGGCTTATCGGGTAAGAGTCACCAGCATCACTTACCGGGTTAGTCTATGGAACCTTGTCTTTCTCTTTACCGGATAAAATTATTCTTGACCTTTGATGCTCACCAATAGGGTAATTGAACCGATAACGTTTACCAAAGCAAGTGTTTACTAAACGGCCCTTAAGTGCGTAGAATAAAATGGTATATAGTTTTAGACATTAGTAATTACTATACTTTTTAATTAATCAAATGATAACTTTTCCCAAAAATAATGCATATATTTACCGACTCTTAAACATTTGTGTATTAATTAAGGGTATATTTGAAAATTTAGTTATCTACTTGAAAATGTATAGTTATTTTAAGACAAACATAAAATAAAAATTAGAACATCTATTTTGAACCAATAACATATTAAAATATATATATATATCGATATTTACTTTGAAATGAAAGAAGTATCAAACTAACACATGTTATTATTTATAATTTTAATGGAGGTTGTACTTTCCCAATCTAGACTGACAAATTAGTATTTAGCCGGCCAAATTTGATCCATGCACCGGCGCTATTGATACACGTTTTGGTGTATTCAATAATTAAAGATGTCTATTCGTATTAATGAGGTATTATTATTTTTTTCTTTTAACTGTGGATGATGTCTGTGTATTGAATTAAGAATACTTTTTTTGGTGATGAGGTATTATTGAGAGGAAGAAAAACAAGCTCTTTGAAGTATTTGACTRCATAAGGATAAGATTGTTGTTCCTAGAAAATGCATGTCAAGCAATCATTACTTTGACATTTGAGAACTTGATATATTTTCCAATATAAAAGACAATCTACCACACTCTAATCAAAAATTCTGGATTAACCATCCAGGTAACAGTACAAATATTTTCCATATAAAGGCCAAAGTTTCGTATGTATTTGCACATTGGATCGAATCAGCTATATCTTTCCATCAAAAGTCGTATCCAGATTTTGTTGAACGATCAATAGAGATGGTTCTAACCGGAAAGATGATCATGTACTTAGATATCAGTTCACGTGGAGACATATTGCATGATCTCGTGAGGCACAGACCACATGACATCCCTTCCATTTCCCCTGATAAGCTTCATRGATGTGATCTCCTTGAGGGTGAACGAGGAGCTGTTGGTTCTGTCATCTGCTGGGACTATACCCAAGGTAACTAATGATTTAACTAACCCTATAGCTTCTTTTAACTCTTTCATCGTCTGTTGTCCAACCATGGCTACCAAGTGCATGTAGGATTCAAGTTATTAAACTATTATATAATGAACAAGATCGAATTTCCTTCTTTAATTTTGCATGGAATTAAAAAGATGGAGAAAAGAAAAGAACAACGGAGGTAATTGAAGAAATTGATGAGACAAACCACAAGATAGTGCTCACTGCAATTGAAGGAGATCTTCTGGGAGATCTACACAAGTCCTTCAAGATCATATTTCATGTTGAACCAAAGGGTGATGGCCAGTTGTTCGTTGTGACGCTTGAGTTTGAGAAGCTGAATGCAAGTGTGCCCTATCCAACATCTTTCATGAACTATTTATTGCATCTTATTACGGACATGGATGCACATAGCAGCAAGTTCTCTGGTTAAAAGAAAAAGATATCTGGAGGCAAGTTGATCAGTTTACGTGTGCATTTAGCATATTAAATAAGATAAATGAATCAAACAACTTGAAGAATAAACAAGTGGCAGCTATATGGCCATTTGGGAGCATGTATGTTCCGATTACCCAGGGTGTGCTGTTGTTTCCTTTGTTTGTATCGTGATGTCTTCTAAGTGACTGTATGGTTGTATGATTGTTAATTTGTGAATCTTTAAACAGTGTCCATGTTTTAGCCTTGTTTATATACAATGGTATTTCATTTCTATATGGTTGCCATCAAAGATGCTGGCATGCATGGTTGGTTCTATTTCGTTTCTTTCTTCACGATCAGCATTTTAAATGGTCGTCTCTAATTTCATGTATGAGCCACTGCAAACGACGGTAATCGCAAAAGGCAACTTTGTATACTTTACCGGAGGTGACATCTTCATCTTCTTCTAACAAAACAAATCTCACGACCTAAATCCCTAAATCAATAACAAATAATAATAATAATAAACTTCCAATCTAAAATTCATTAGCGATAGTGATCCACGGTGACCAAATCGAAAACCCATTTGAGCTCCACCTATATCAAAATAAGCAAGTAGAGCAATAGTGGGAAAAGAGAGGTGACCCATGTGACTAAGAACAAGACTTTACAACAGTAGTTGGGAAAGAGAAGCTCCTGGTATGAAGTTTCAAAACTGGGTTAGGTAAAAGGTGGAAGATGAACAAGATTTTAGGTTTTAGGTCCTTAATTTATGTTTTTGGATTCTAATCTTGAGGGTTAAGGTAATAAATGTTGGTTCTCCGAAAAAAGGAAATAAGTGAAAGTTGGTCTCATTTTGATGCAATTTTATCTAAATAAATTCAAATGTTTCGATTACAAAAAAAAAAATATGTTCCTTTTCTTTTTCATCTTCTTCTCTTAAAATGTGTTCTTTGTGTAAGGTACAAATTACTTCATTTCTCTTGCAAAAGGTTGGAATATTTCTTGAAACTCACCCAACTAATGAGTTGGAAAAGGCTTTTATTATTCTTGCCCTACTTCGTTTTCGTTTATGATCCCCTGAAGTCATTGATAATCTCAAGAACTTTAAAAAAAACAAGACGATGAAGTTTATGCTTTGAGAACTTTAATAACGGTGTTCATTTTATTGTATACAGAGAAAAATCTAAAAAAAATTCAATGGACTTTACTGTCTAGAATGATTAAATATTTGGACAATTTTTTTGGAACAAATAAATATTTGGATATTTCAAAACCTGTTAAATAAATCTTTGGATTTTTTAAAACATGTTAGATACATTCTTATTACCTATAAAACTGATTAATATAATAAAATAAGGGAAAAAACCTAAAAAAAATTCAATTAACTTTCATATTTTCAACGATTAAGTCTTTAAAAATTTTTGAACCAAAAAAGTATTTACATATATAAAATGAATCAAATATATAAAAAAAATACCTACATTTGAAAAAAAAAATTGATAAAATATATTTTCATTAAAAATAAAAAAAATTTGTCAGTGATTTTTCAAATTAAAAAAAAATGAAAAAAAGAATTTAAAAAGTGTTATTGATGA